GAGCAGAACGTGCGATAACCTCGGCGAGGACATCTGGGATGTGCCGGGCGAGCCCGGCCTCCCCTCCTGCCCTCAGACACTGGCACAAGTCGCTTTTGGAGGAGGATTTCAGAAGAGACAGCCCCCCCGGCAATTTCCTAGCACAGGGAAAGGCCTGGAGCGCGTCCTCCCCACGCGTGGGCCCGGCGCCGCTCGCGGCCGCCTCATGCGTGAGCAGCTCGCACTATCGCCTCAGGCCGCCCCGGCTCCTTCGGGACGCGTGGCCACTCTTCAGAGACACCACTGCTACCCTCTGCCTGCTCCTTCCTCTGCAACGCCGCAGCATTTGGGCCATTGCTGTGGGCACTATGCTGCGGGCTACCTATCCGGAAGCTTCCCTGCTCCACGATCCCCTTGGAAACTTGGGCCATTTTGGCTCTCGGCCCACCTGCCCTTGGCGGGGGGTGCCAATAGGCCCCGGTCCCCATGCAGCACACACGCAAGATGATAATTATTTTACAAAAGCACCAAATTCCTTGCCAGCTGTAGCCTGTCAGAGGGAATTAAGAAAATCAATAAATCCAGGGGATCGCAGCAAAAAGAATGAACCAGCCCTATAAATTAATGCTTCTTTCTTTTGTGGAGGCTGAAGAAGAAATACTGGTAGAGGAACAAGGATTTGAATTTCTAAACCACCTATTTTGACCAAAGAGGATCAGTAGCGAGACACGCAGGGGTAGGCAGGGCCTGGGAGAGCCAGCGCGCTGCAGCACGCGCGGTGCTGAGGTCAGCAGAGCATCTCTGGGCTCGTCTCGACTGTGTGATTCTCGAGAGCTAAAGGGCATTTCATACACGCAGAACCTGGAGGAATCCCTGCCTCATAACTGAAAATGCACAGATGGACAGAACCACTGCAGACTCATAACAAAAAAACGCAATGAATCATGTTATTTTACACAGTATTATCAGGTGACAACACAGCACGTCTGAGTGCAGTCTAGGGTGACATTTGAACTAACACTTTTCAGTGGTAAAAGCCCAATCCCACATTATTGAAGAATCTCCCTCAGTAAACTCATAAATTAAAGTGTGAATTAAATTATCTACTGAAGAAGGCAAGGAGCAATTTGAATGTCGATACCCTATGAAGTCAAAAACACTAGGCAAATTTGCACCAGCTGGGGAGGTGACCTCATTTCCCCTGCCCAGGATCCTAAGCCTTGCTTTGGTGGAGCAGAGGCTGCAGAATGGGAGCTTGCTCTGCTGCATGGTGTCACGTATTACCCTCTTCATATTACTTTCCATATGCTGCACTAGACCATTTAACACTGAGTATTTGCATTTCACAGTTCATACAAAAATATCTGGCAGGGGAATGGGCAGGGGGAGCACCAGAAAACAGCTTTCCCTTGTTATATACCCCAAATCACTGCAAAATCCTTTCAATATCCAATTGGGAAATATCAATAAATCCTTATGAGCCGCCCTCTCGTCTCACTCTTTAAATTCCTTGCCATAATCCTTCCAAATGAGTTTGCACATTTCTAACACTAGAGACACAATTGAAAACAGCTAACTGCCTGGAAATAAATAAAACTGAGCATAAACTGGTGATCAGCAGGTTGCAAAAATCAAGGACACGAGCTATATCACTGAGCATGACAAAAGCGTACTGGAATCCTTCAGAGACCATGCGTAAAATCTCAGCCTTACGGAAACGAGAAAACAAAACCTGGCTCTTGTTACTGAGCATAATAAACTCGTGAGTATAAACCTCTTGGGGCTCAAAATCAGTATTTACTTGCAACAGAACGCACAACATAACTATATGCCTTGATGCCACCTGTGAGCAGCCTTCTGCTAGCTTGAGGCTGAGGACCTCAGCCTGGGGGGTCCCGTCTCTGGGACCCCGCGGAGGAGCTGACCTGGCGCCCAGGACACGTTGGCTCCCACAAGCGTCCCAAAGGCCGCGGGTGCCGCGGGGAGGTTGTAACCAAATTCCTGGCTCCTGCGTGTATCCTAGCAACACCTCTCCGAGGTGGAGATGCGCCGCCTTGCCCACCGTTGTGTAGGACACCAAAGGCAAATTGCGCACAGCGTTTTCTTCCCGACGCCCCACACCACCGCGATTGAGGGCAACGCGGCCACCGGCGCGACTTGTGGGAGGCGTTCAGGGCGAGGAAAGGCCTCGCTCGCACGGGGTCACCACGGGCTTGTCACCACAGCAGTGACACGGGGGGCTTCATCCCTGGCACCAAAAGGCTCGAGGCACAACATGGGGCGCTCAAGGAGCTCAGGCCCTGGATGGTATCTGAGCTCCCGTCTCTGGGACCCCGCAGAAAGACTGGGGAAGAGTTTGAGAAAGACATCAAAAACTTTGGAGTAGTGATCAGAGAAATGATGTTACAGAAATGCTCAGGCAGGGGTTTTTCAAATATTTGTTTTGCAAAACAAGCTTAGAAAACCTAAAAGAAATTACAGCAACCTATAGGAGACTGGGAAACAGACACTGCTCAGTTTCTAACCTAAGGAAGAAACTTTTCCAATGTGTTTTCCTTCCCATCAAACTACATTTCTTTTTTTTTCTTCCCCCCTCCCCATCATTAACCAAATCCTTTGGGCTACAATATGCATTTATCACTTGAACCACCCTTGCCTCAATTTAACATTTTCCTGCATTTTTGCAAAACAAGTCAAGAAGAAAACTGCAAAATTTCCTGCTTGTCTGTGTTATGGAACTGGGCCCTGCTAAACTCATTCTATTCCAGTATATTAAGAAATCCAAGGGTTTCACAGACACATGCAAGGGAAGCTCTGTGCCTGGGGCCAGCAGGAGAGAGGAGGCTATCGCTGCCCACTCAAAGATGCAGCATTTGTGATAGATCTCTGCCATTCACCTTCACTTAGAGAAAAATACAAGCTCAGTGGCTGTTTGCTTTCAACACTTCTGTGCAATCACCAGCCCTGGTTTAATACCTACAAGCAAGAAATTCCCTGTGACAAGCAGGATTTTTTTTGCAAGTGTATCAGGAATATTGGGAGCCGGTCCTGACCTGTGCCACTCCAGCAGGGCTCCCTCCAAGGCTCTGATACCACGAGTGAGAAGCAGCAGCTGCATCGCATCTCTTGTGCGGTATAAAATTTAGTGCCTTCACAGTTGTCTTTTTTTTATAGTGCCGGAGAGGAAAACCAAGCATTTAAAGTTCTATTTAAATACAAAAGCCTGACAGACATCTCTGACAATAAAAGCGCAGCTGGTAGCAACGCACTGAACGTAACGCGGTGGTACGCGATGGGAGGCTGCAGCCCTGTCTTGGGTTAAGGCTGAGGATAATCTACAGGTGGGAGCAGCTCCCTCATTTCTGCAGCACAGGAGTTGCTGTTGGTATTTCCACATTACACAGAGCTGGGCAGAAATAACATCAGGATCCCATCGTCTAGACGCTGCACAAGGAAGCGCAGAATTCCCCTAAATTCTGCAAAGCCAACATAAGCCCCAGGAAGGCGGCTCTTCCCACATACAGCAGGAGTTAGGTTTATACATCTGGAAGAGAGGCACCATGCAAAGCCCCTCTCCTGAAGCCTGCAGCAGACCAGAGGCTGCAGGGAAGGACGCTGACAGGGACTGCTCCATCTCACATTAAGCCCAAATGATGCTCATTTGGGGCAGTTGGTCCACACGGAGAAGATTCAGACACAGCTCATGCATCGTGGCCTTGCCACATCACTAACTCCCACAGCCCCCGGTTATTTTTATGCAGCTATTAAGGCTAAGGATGCATTAGGAAAATAAATTAAGCATGAATATGCTCCTGGGAGAGCATTTGCAAAAAGCAGCAGGTTGCGGGTTAAAATAGCCAGGTGCAACTTAACCAGTAAACAAAATGGTCAAAGAACAGCTGCTAGGGAGATGCGTGAGCCCCAGCACACGCTATCGAGAAAATACGAAGGGTATTCTGGAGCACACACAGGCTTATACTCAGCACCCAGAAGCTATTTTAAGTGCCCCGTGGAGGCAAGCTAATGTTATTAGGGCACTTCTCTTCCAAGAGACAACAATACATTTTGAGCCAAGTAATCCCATCAGGAGGCTCCGTAAACACCTTGCTTGGATGAAGCGGCTGCGATTTTCTCCTGTTAAGGCAGACTCAGCTGAGCTGAGGCGGGTTCTCTCCTGCCACCTGCAACAAAGCCGTGAGCAGCAGTGGCCTGAGACCGAGAGGCAAAGGCTTCAGCCCTCCTCTGGCCATACGTCCCCTCTCTGTCCACTTTCACCCACCTAATGCCTTCTTATAAAGCATTTTGAGACCCACAGAAAAGGTGTACGAGGAACCAGGCAATACTATTAGTGCATGATGCTATGGCTCTAAGTTATGGGGAGGCAGAGACAGCCACAATGAACATCCTAAATCAGAAGGATGGGAAGAAATGTGGGAAAAGAGGACGAAGAAATTGGATTATGACAGTGATAGAGAGAAAAGAAGTAGATGGGAGGGCTACAGAGACCCTAGGGAAGAGCTCTGATACCACTATGACGGCCTCAGTAAACAAGATTACTGGAAAACTGTACAGAAGTGGGGAAGAAAACAGAACAAAACAAATCCATCATTCATCAACCCACTCATCTTTTGGCAGGGAGGGGACAAAAGTTACACTTCCCTGACAGAAAATACAGAGCACCTGAAACAATGTAAATGCAACAAGTAAGGTTGAATAGGAGACCCCTGTGCTCACTTCTCAAAACTTGCAATTTGTCTACTTTTCCAATAATCATTTCTGCTTCAAATATGCTCTGGGCTTGAAAGCTACATACAGCCGTTGATCAATACTCAGAAGACTACATTTGCAAACCAAAAAAAAAAAAAAAGGAATCAAATCAAGCACTGACCAGTCTCAAGTGTGTCCAGCTGCCAGCATCCCCTGGTTCCTCTGTTCTTCACAGAACTCGAGGACATTTGGGCAACTACTCAACAAGACTGTGCTTTTTCCCCTTCTGGTGACCAACCTGCTGCCTCACTTACCAGTCAAGTTCTTCAAGCCGAGCTCCCTGAGTCCGAAGTTGCCGTCCTTCCTGTAGTTGAGGAATATGGCCAACGCGTATCTGTCTTCGTAGAGCTTGGTGCCACGAACGATGCGCAGGTTCTCCAGGGGCAGGTACTCAAACTGGTTCAAAGCCACCAGCACGTAGCCCGTGACTTCTCTGATAGACTGCAAGAGACACAGGAAACAAAACACATTACGAACGGTAGAAAATTAAAAGCTAGGGAGTAATGATTTTTTTTCAGCTTTATTAAACTTGAGGAGAAATTTGCAGCAAATATAGAAGATCAAAGAGGAATTTTTCAGAATTCAACCTAGTGATTAGGTCTCTGTATGATACAAGGAGAATCCACCACGGCAGTGCCACGTTTGAGACAAGATACTCATGTGCTAGTAAGTGTTTTGCACAGGGTATTGAGGGCTGAGACTGCAGGGATAGACCACGGCGCAAGAGAGTGATCCCTGGAAAAGACCTCTGGTAGAAACAGAGGTTTGTACGTGTGTATTTACTGCATACATAAATACCTGGACACATAAAACAGAGTGCCAAGCTCAGGGGTTATTACTGAGCGTGGCCATGTACATAAGGAAGGGTGATTCCTGGGCAATCTATACATAGGGGAGGGTTTATACGTGCCTGCCCTTCAGCACCAGAGCTCCGCGCCCCGCTGAAGCTACTAGGAAAGCCCTGGAGCTATTTCAAGACTCCCTTGGCACCCAAACAGAGCCCGCTGTCATTCCAGGACTTTGATGAGAACCCAGTGAGTTTAGCTGGGTGGAGGTGTACGGTTCAGTAGCTCAATATTAAGTGCAGAGCTGCATTATACGCTGGGACACTGATTCCATTATAATCAGCAGCTTTCTGGCACTTTCATGATAGCTCTTTGCTCTCAGACATCTCAGCTTAGCCGGTTTGGGCAGGAATTTATTTTTTATTGTATGTAAAGATCTCCTCAAGCTGGCTTTTTCAGCCTTCTTGAGTTCAGAAAATATGAAAATTATATTCATGACTTCTATTTCTCTACTGATAATCTAGGGGCCCTGTGATTGCTCTAATTAATTTAAAGGGACTTTTTAACTTGGAATCATGTCAAAAAAAAGAAATAAAAGCAGTTCCAAAACGGCCTCTGACCAAGTCCTTCCTGCCAATTTTTGTCACTTATAATCACATTTTCTATTTTTAGGATTCGCCTTATTACTTGCCATACGGAAAGTCCACCTGAAAAGGCCCTCATTCAGCATGGCACTTAAATTATGCTGATGTTCTCCGGCAAATCTCAGGTTATTCCAATGCAGAAAAGTAGAGAAGAGAAGACAGAATTTGTATTTTTGTTGCTGGTGATTACTGTGAACTGCCACGCACTACCCAGAAGCTGTACTTTGTGTCGTTTATCTGACAGAAATGACATTTTGGCAAGAATTTAGACAAGAGCCAGAAGGTCTTTTGCAGCCCCACGGTTTCCATCAGCCCTGCAACATTGCTTTCTCCCCTGTAAAAGCAGTTATTCACTGGAAAAAAATGGCTATGTTAATCTCTGCAAATCAAAATGACCGAAATAATCTAAAATCTTTCAGATTTACAAGGAACGACAGCGTTGTGAGTGACCCAAACTATTTGTCTGCCATTTCTACATGGGTGCTTATTTTTTATTAACCCCACGTGAACGAGAGCGCAGTAGCAGATCTCAGTGTTACGACTGCTCTATTTTAACTGCTTTTGGTTTAACAAAGCTAAAAGCTTCCAAAGAGGAAATCAAAAGAAGTTTAGCAACCTCCAAACAACCTCGCTGTCAACTGTGATTTTGCAGGAATTTTTTCCCTCCATTATAACATCATTTTGGCTGGAAATTCCTGGCTAGCTTTGCCTCGCCTTTCCTTGTTGTCTTCCCAGTTTTTGAGATGCAACTTGCTGCTGCAGGACCCAGAGAGCAGGACAGCAGAGACAGGCGTTCCCCCAATACTTCTGCAATACAACTACACGTGCTTGGGCTTCCCAAACCTATTTGGGCATGGGAGTGTGCATGAACCTATAGATTTGACTGAAGGAAAGGCTGAAACTCCCATGCTGCTCATCAAACCTGCCTAACACATGCCTGGCTGCTGCAAAGCTGAGGAGAAGACACTTCCGAGGATTCAAGAGCCAAAGGTGTCTGCTCGTTTGATTTGTCGTGTTAGCTATCAGATGCAGAAATAAGAAAGGACATGCTTCTAGCAGGGAAAAAGAAGAAAAAAAGACAGAAAATGCATTAATACTCGACAAACGTAAAGCCTCACAAGCTGCTTTAAACCATGCCAAGTCACAGGATCCAGCCTGATGCAGTTATCAGAGGAACGCTCCTCATCTGCATTCATTTCTAGATGGAAGGAGGGCACTTGTCGTGCTCCTGTCCTTGAGGAGCAGTGCTTCTTTTCAAGCAAAAAGCCAGCGCGAGGGGAGGTCTCCCAGGCAAAGCGCGGGCTCCGCTTCCACGGCTGCAAAAGGCAAGTGGCAGCTAAAAAGCACAGGTTAGATCTGCTCGGATGAGACGGGTCTCCCTTCTCCTGCCTCGTACGGCCTGGAAACGCTGGGAAAGGAGTGCTTAGTAATTTTACTGTGATTTAATGCACGGTGCTATAAACTCTCCCGTCCTGTAGGTAAAGCATCTTTTCCCCTAGGGTTTATGGCAGGCACATGACTCCATAAAACAGTTTCTTACTGGCTTTGCTTTCCCCTCCACAGGGAAAACATCCCCCTATTATTATTATTTTTTTTAATCCTGAAAGTAAACCATCCCCAGGTGACGATAAATCGCATTCCAAACTAAAAGGTAACCCGGCTCAAAATCTGCGGCAGAGATGAGCCTTACGCACAGCAATATTCTGCAACTTTGGCTAATTTATGCTATAAATTTCATTGCTTTCAGCAGAAACTGTTTGCCCCACGTTGGTGGCCAAGCCCTTGCAGTCAAGGATTGATGCAGGAGGCTAAGGGGATCTCAAAATGACCAAAAACAGGGAAAATGGGGTGATTTCTCAAAGGCAAAGCCAGAAGACACCCCCTCAGTGGGGAATGAGAGACAAGACCGTTACCTGTGATCCTAAATTGCCTTTTGCAGTGAATCCAAGCAAAAAGGAGTAAAATAGCAGCACGATCACGATCACTCCGTCCACAACAACAGATCAATGACCAGTTAAGGAAGCCGATGCTTCTCATAAACGCTGCCGGGTCCTCTCAGCATCTCCCAAAGACGGTTTGGTCGTGGCTCAGGTGCTGATAAACTCTATTTTGTGGTTTGCACGGCTTATTATTCGGCCTGCTTGCAAGCTGTTTACCTGGCCCTAAGTCTCTGAAACGTTTGTGTTGCTGCTTTGCTACCAAGGATTAATTCCACGTTGTCCCGCTGGGCACAGGAGCAGCCTCCAGCTCCGTGAGGGGCAGGTGCTTCCCACCTGGGACGTAACAGGGCAAGAAGGAAGGAGAGCATTCCATGAAAAAAAAAAATCAGCAACAAATCCCACAAATGCACAAAGTATCCATATATTCCCGCAAGAGACAAAGATGGGATTCAGACACAGGCCCTCACAGCAATCCGAAAAAAAAAAATCAGCAACAAATCCCAGAAACGCACAAAGTATCCATACATCCCAAGAGACAAAGCTGGGATTCAGACACAGTTCCTCCCAGCAATCTGAGAGCACTGCGCATCAGACAGAGTTGAGGATCAGAAATGTCACTGTGTCCCCAAGGTCCCAATGCTGGGGAAGAAAGGGGTGAAGCTCCTGCAAGGAGGCACCACAGTGTCCCACAGAAGGATAGATTTTTCCTGCCTCCACCAAGAGAAACAGACAGGGCAGAGGGCTCCAAACTAGCTCTCTGTAGGCAATAAGCCAAGGGCATGCATCTAATCCCACCTGTTGCAAATAACCTAAGCTCTATTTTAAGAGAATATCCATTTCATGAAGCACCAGGAGGCTCCTCGTGATCCAGCTGCCAGCGGGTAACAGACATCCAGTGATTTCGATGCAAGGAGCTAGACTGACCCTCCAACCCCAACTCTGCATTTTGTCACATTATATTAAATCGCAGGAAAGTCAGATTTCTAAAGGGCAACAAAGGGAAAAGTCTTTCTGCACAGTCTTTTCTTGCACATTAATAAAGGCAACAGGCCCCAGCAAAGCTATGAGTAACATAAGTGACGTGAACAGTTACCGCCGCGTTAGCTGTTTCAGAAGCTTCGCGCATCTCGGGTTAACTTGAACGCACCATTCCCTGTTTTGCTTTTCTGATAGTTCAAAGGTAAGCATTTATCATCTGTTTTCAACCCTGCAAAGCCAAACAAACTACATCTACTTCTGTTTTCCAGACAGTGAAATACTGCAAGGCCAACGCTCTCTTGACCCTAAGCAAGTTCTTCAGACAGTCCCAACCACCACCTTGAAGATGTCCACTAAATTCAGCCAAGCATGTTTGTGAGCGTGGTGGTGACCCCAAAGCCAGGGCTTATTTTTTCATTTACCCCTCCTGAGCATCACGAGCTGCTGGGATATGCGGTACAAGCTTCAGCTGGAGCACAGAGCTAAAGTCCAGGATGTAGATCAGGAAAAACATCTTTCTGGTGCCTGATCCAAAGCAAATGTTGTGTCATAGCTGGAGTTTCCACAGCACTGCAGAAAATGTATCATCCAAAAAAGTTGCAATTTTGATTCAGATTTGTTACTAAATATATATATATAAGTATGTATGTACATAGAGAGTTGCCTTCTGGTTTGTTTTAAGTAGAATTGAGAAAGAAAAGGAAAGAAAAGGCTTGGTGGTAGTTTTGCTAGGAGTCCAATATCTAGAACAACTGGCAAAGACTTTAAATCATTCTCTCGCCCTCACCTGCTTTGTAAATATGAATACAAAATATTAACAGCACCTCGAGCAGCAGGACTGAACATTACACTAACTTCCCTCAAATTTAAAGCAGCAGCCAGGTCGATGCAGCCTTCCTCAAAGTCTTTGGAGATTCGTGAGTGAAGGTTTTGCCATGTAACTTGGGGAAACCAAAGTTGCTGAACCAAAGTTTTTTCTTCTTAATGTTAAGTCTTCACACTGGGTTATTCGACACATGGGTCTTTTGATACAACAGGGACATGGGAGAAGTAGCTGCGTATTGAGTTTATTTACTTAGTCTGACATAGAAATC